TGGGTACGGAAAGTATTCAGACCCCCTTACATTTTTCACTCTTTGTTATATTGCAGCCATTTGCTAAAATCATTTAAGTTAAATTTTTTCCTCATTAATGTACACACAGCACCCCATATTGACAGAAAAACAAAGAATTGTTGACATTTTTGCAGATTTATTAAAAAAGAAAAACTGAAATATCACATGGTCCTAAGTATTCAGACCCTTTGCTGTGACAATCATATATTTAACTCAGGTGCTGTCCATTTCTTCTGATCATCCTTGAGATGGTTCTACACCTTCATTTGAGTCCAGCTGTGTTTGATTATACTGATTGGACTTGATTAGGAAAGCCACACACCTGTCTATATAAGACCCTTAATCTATAATGATTTTAGCAAATGGCTGCAATATAACAAAGAGTGAAAAATTTAAGGGGGTCTGAATACTTTCCGTACCCACTGTATATATATATATATATATATACACGCTTTACTTTTCAGCACATATATATTCTGACATTCATATTTACACTTTCACACACTCATATGTAGGTATGTAAGGGGGTTGGGGGTTCTATTACTTCCTCTTTAACCAGGAAGCCACATTCAAGCCACTGGTGTTGCCCGTTTTGTGCTTCACAGGAGAGGATTAAACTGGCAGATCAGTGCATAATCAAATAATTGACAGATTATGGGCAGAGCTAAATAGAATACTGTAATTTAATTTTGTTAATCTATTTGCCTTTATGGAGGAGCATGACAAGTTAAGTTTACTTAATGAGCACCATTAATTTTGCCTTCATTATATTTATTTGCCATGAATTCAAAGAAGTGCCACTGAATTTCAGAAGCATGGTCTTTTGACTCAAGGGGGCAAACTCCTCTTCAGCTGTGGCAGAGGGGCATAGTCAACAATGCAGGAATGCATAACCCAATATGAACAGTATTTTTGACACAGACAGTGGTTTTAGTATTGATGACAACATACTCTCAGAGTTACAGACAAATAATAATGTTGTTGTTCCACCAATTACCTTTATACAAAAATGTATGAATGTGTGTGTTAAAATATTTGACAATGTGAGCAAAAATGTATGTATGTTAAAGGAGAATGTAAGTGTGTGAGAGCACCAGAATGAATTTGGGCTTGTAGGGCCTTTCATACCTGTGCGGTTTATTTGCTTATTATTTTAAAATAGGTTGATTAAATGAAAGAGAGGATTCTGTTTGTCAGTGTGTTTAATGGTCAGTTGCTGACATATCAAGATTCTAGACCTTAAACTTCCTGTTGGAGTGTCATTAGAGTCTCTAGCTCTCACAGGTGAGGGAGGGGGGAGTTAACGTAACAACTATGCCAGTTACAACTTCTTTATGTTATACATTAATAATTGATGACTGTTTGAGGCAATACTTTGTTTATCTTACTCTGTAAATGCAAGTCTCATGAGTCAGACACTTTAAATCTGTTTTATGTAAATTACAGAACCTACTGTTTTAGGGGGAATCACACAAAGCCTGTGAAGTTATCCTTGTCATATTTCTCTCTAAAAAAACAGCATATTTATTTATTTATATGCTTTAGCTTGGTGCTAATTTACAACATTTAGAAATAAACTGTGTTTTTGTGATGTCTTCTGAATGGTGTAGAATGAGATGAAGTACTCATACTTTTCTATTAAAAAAGTGTTTATACAAGCCTCTCATTGTATTTTTACATGTTGCAATGATGTGATGTGGTGTTTCACAAAATGTCAGAAGGTATCCCCATCAAGCTCATTTGTTGTAGATATGATAGTTCGCTTAGTGCTTTTGGTTATGCAAATAATGCAAATTAGAAATGGACTATTGTGCTTTACTAGCAGAGACATTAGGATACTTTACTTTACTTTTACTTTATAACACTTTATTGTCAGACGAGTCTGAAATTTTTCTTGCATGACAGTATCTGTGTTTACAACAATCAAGATCCTTTAAACAACAACATGCACTTCATCCACACACAAACAAAACACAATATACATTACACTCCCTTGTGTACAGGATCTGTAGTATTGAAGATGCAGAAAAGAGCAAAAAAAAAAAAGAAGAAATTTAACCAACACAATGAAAAGATCTGATGACAGAGATAATCCTGAGTAGTGATTCCCAAGATTCCCAACAAACAGGGTGCGCTTTCTGCCGTCTCGGTCTCCGCAAACTTCTTTCTGAAATGCGTCACAAAAATGAACCGAAACTCAGCGAATACTTCACACACAGACATGAGAGATATATATATAGAAAGCTTGAAGTGTCTACTTTTAAATGAAGTAAGTCTTAACTAAAACAAATAGTCTCTGATAAAGTAATCCATATGAAACCAACGCGAGGTCCAGATCTATTTTGATCTCACTCAGACCGTCACCACGGTCTTATCCTGAATGACACCATTCCTCCACCTATCCTCGAGACCTAATAACAACAATGTCAGGTGACTGACCTTAGGGGTTGGCTGTTATATAACATCCGGATGGACCAACCACTTCCTCTTTGCCTTTCTCACCTCATCTGAGACCGGATCGGTTGATTGCATTTGAAGTCAAACTCAGGAGAGATTAAAGTTCCAATCCATTACGTTTTCATACTGGCGCTTTAGGTCCCTGAGGATTGTGTTGGATTTCTCCTCTGTATTTTGGACATGAAGCTGGAATGCACATTGGTGAGTGTCCCCTTACTTTACTTTATTACAAGCTGTTTACAGGTGTTTGTGTTTGGGTCTGCTGTTCGCAGTGGACGTGATATTTCCATCCTGGTTACTGCGTGTATGCACGTAGAGTGGGGGATATTCAAATATTCTTTGTTTATGTAATTTTTGATTTTCAAAAAGGTTTATTCCTCAGACTTTATTTGAAAGACAATTAATGAACTGTGATCTGTCTGTCACTCAAAATGTCGATTTTGTCAGGCTGATATGCACCCAGGTGATGGACATAGAGTATGCCCATCCTGTTTGGGTATGCAGCATTTACTTGTCGATATTGAGAAACCCTGTGCAGTAGCAGTAGGGTTAACGTTACAGGAAAGGGTGCAGAGAGCCAGACACTCAACTGGTAGTAGGAAAGAAGTAGCTTCTAAAAGCCCCTTAGTAGAGGAACATCCTTGTAAGCGCAAGAGGTATCGTACCCCTGACAATTCTACTTGATCCAAGTAGAGAAGAAGCAGCAAAATGTAGCAAAAATGCCTGTTCAGGGCTTCAAGTGTAGGTGATTTTTATCTGTAAATACGCTAAAGAGTTTAGTCTTTATTAACCTAGTTGAGTATTAAACTGCTAGCAACTGTTAGGCTATCAGGAGCACCCCATTATTATCATAATTCAAAATACTGTTCTAAAGGACACCATTATTGATTGGAAAGTTACATTAATAAATTTAGCAGACATATATTCTCATGGATGTATTGTATAGGGAGGGAGGGAGCTTGAGCAGACAGAAACACAAAAATATCACAGCCTAATAATGCAATAGTGTGTTCAGTATTACGATTTTCAAAAAATATATTGTACTGATTTTGACTTTTAGGCACTTTAGAAAATTGTTTTGATATATTTGTATGAAATATAGGTTTGTTAAATATCGGGTATTTAAGTCATTTTAAGATAAATAACATTGTGTTATAACAAATTGCAATGAGGTGGTCGTTTTGCAACAAGGTGGACACAGTTCTGTTCATAATAATAGACCTGCTGGTCAAGAAGTGACAGGTATAATGAAAAAAGGGAGAGACAGAGATATTGGGGAAAATTAAGAAAAGTAAAAAGGGAAGTGAAGGTGCAGTTCAAGAGACAACCTTTAATTATTTTTCACGGCCCCAGACCAAGGATTTAGACCTTTTTATGCAATGGCCATTTAAATAATAGGGTTATCTGTGGTTTCAGAATTTGTAGTGGGTCAATAGACTATATACAGAAAAAAGAGGCCAAAATGGTGCCTTTTGGGGTACAACAGCTTGTCACTGGAGCAGTAGAAAAAGGACGTCTTTTTGCCTTTTACCCCTAATAGGTAAATATTAGTACCTAATGTGTACAAATTACTATATGGCACTAATATGCACCTATTAGGGGTAAAAAAAGGTACAAAATGTTATTTTAAGGGTATTGCTCCAGTGACAAGCTGTTGTACCCTAAAAGGTACTGCTTTGGCCTCTTTTTTTCTGTGTGGCCTGGATGAGTGTGAGATTTCCCGGACTGAAATGAAGCCCCAGTCCAGCCCTATTCAGAACCTTGGGAGTATGACAGAAGACGAACTAGGGGTTATCAGTCCCATGATAGGGGCACCAGACAATCTTATCAAGCTCCCCAATCTGACCAGTCTCATACTCCAGCTAGGGGAGGATCCCTAAGGAAGCATACTCCCAGGGGTTCCAAACCCCGGGGAGGCCCTGCATAATGGTCTTGGAGTCGCCGGGTCCTATATATCATCAAGAAAGGATACAGAATACAGTTCCGGCTGCGTCCTCCTACTTTTTCAGGGGTTCATATGACCATAGTCAAAGACCCTGTCCAGGCACAAATTTTAGCCAACAAGATTACAACCCTATTGCAGAAAAAGGCAATTGTTCAGATAAGCACCAGCGAACAGCTCACTGGATTCTATTCAAAATATTTCCTTGCACCAAAGAAGGATGGTGGACTTCGACCCATTCTGAACTTACGACAACTGAACCGATTAATAAAGGTGTTGCCTTTCAAAATGTTGACAACAACTCAAATTCTAGAATCTATAGAACCAGGAGAATGGTTCACTTCCATAGACTTAAAGGACACATATTTCCACATGCCCATCTGTCAAGATCATCACCCATTTCTTCGCTTTGCCTTTCAAGATCGGGTTTACCAGTTCAGGGTCCTACCATTTGTCCTTTCATTGTCTCCAACGGTCTTCACCAGGGTGGTTTCAGCAGCCCTTCATCCTCTTCAATGTGCAGGAATAAAAATTCTAGCATACCTGGACGACTGGTTAATCTGTGCTCCTTCTCGCAGTCATGAAGGACACGGAAATGGTAATTCAACATGTCCAGGCTCTCGGTCTCAAAGAAAACTGGGACAAGAGCAATCTAAGTCCTCGATAAGGCTGTATTCCCAACTAATGACGGCATCTTTATCTCCTCAGAGGGTGCTAAAATTCACCAGTCTGGCTCAGTCATTTCATCTAAACAGGAGGATGAAGCTAATTCAGTTCCAGCAGTTGCTGGGTATGATTGCAGCGGCAGCGATTGTGATTCCCCTCGGTCTTCTCAGAGCCCGTCCACTACAAAGGTGGGTGAACAGCATCAAATTACAACCCAAATTAGACAAATATGTGAGGATGCAGGTTACACGGAGGTGTATTCAGATGTTATGCCCTTGGAAGAACAAGAATTTACTATCACAAGGGGTTCCTTTAGGGAACATCCCAGCGAGGCGGTCTGTGATAACAACAGATGCCTCTCTGATGGGATGGGGAGCAGTTTGGGAAGGCAGGTCTGTCAGAGGTTTCTGGGAACCTCCCTGGACCTTAGAGCACATCAATGTGCTGGAGCTCAGGGCAGTTTACCCTTCTCTGAGGACTTTTCTCCCATTATTGCAAAACAAACATGTTTTGATAAGGACGGACAATATTTCCGCAGTGTATCACATCAATCACCAGGGTGGCACCAGATCAGCACGATGTCTCCAGGTGACAAAGAAACTACTTTCTTGGTTGTCTCTGAAACTCCTGTCTCTCAGGGCAGTATACATAATGGGAGTTGCGACCAAAGCAGCAGACCTGCTGTCTTGAACTGGACCTCTTCCCGGGAGAGTGGAGTCTCCATCCTGAAGTGATAAGACTTATATGGAGTCAGTTCGGTATGGCAAAATCGATCTGTTTGCAACGGCAGAGACAGCTCATTGCAATCAATGGTATTCCCTGAACAACCAGGGAGATCCCCTGGGGATAGATACACTATCTCAAGAATTGCCGGAAGAGTTGTTGTATGCTTTTCCTCCTCTACCTTTGAGTGCTCAGGAGGGTAGCACTGGGTCGTCACAAAGTTTTGCTTGTGGCCCCAAGATGGCTAAAGAAGCACTAGTTCCCAACACTTGTATGTTTGGTTCAAGGTCATCCTTTGCAGCTACAGAGGAGAGAGCCGATATCCTGTCTCAGGCGGAGGGGCAAGTTTGGCACCCGTGCAATTGTGGGTATGGCCTCTGCTCTGTCCCTCCCTACGGACTTAGATGAAGCTGTACTGAGGACAATAAATAGTTCTAAGGCACCCTCTACTTGGAGTAACTATTCTAGCAAGTGGCAGATATTCTCAGCATGGTGTCAAGACCATCAGCTAGATGCTACCAGTTGTGACCAGCTGTTTTGTTCTCTGGTTTCTTCAGTTGTTGTTGGATTTGGGGAAATCAGTTAATACTATAAAGGTCTCTATTGCAGCCATCTCACACTTCCATTCGTTAGTGGATGGTGTAAGTGTTGGTAAACACTCTTTGGTGTTTTAGTTCCTGAAGGGTGCGCACTGTTTGTGCCAAGGGAAGGTTATGAGGTATACTATTATTTTGCGTTCACTGATCAAAGCACCTTTTGAACCCTTGGATCAAGCCAATCTTAAGTTCCTGACATGGAAGACAGTCTTCCTCCTGGCAATATGTTCAGCCAAGAGGGTTAGTGAATTGCACTCGTTATCAGTCAGTGAGGACTGTTTGAGATGGAAGGCGGAAAATGCAGGGCTTTATATTTGGCCAAATCAGTCATTCCTACCCAAGGTCCTTAGGCCTGGTACGATAAATCAGGTCATTGAGCTTGATGCTTTTCTCCCAGACCCCCCTTGTTCAGGTACTGGGTTGGATAGCTCTTCTTTATGTCCTGTCACAGCACTGCATTCATACTTTAGCACTTTCAGACATATGTGCCGTGGTCTCTTGGAGCACCCTGTGCACGTTCATAAGGTTTTATAGGATTAATGTTACAAATCCAAATTCTTTGGGGTCTGCCGTTTTATCTGCTGTGAATTTACCAGAGAAGGTAAATGATACTGGTCCCTCGTGACTCTGTTGGTATTAGTAATCCAGGATAAGGCCGTGGTGACGGCCTGAGTGAGGTCGAAACAGATCGTAAGTTATATCCATAACTATGGATCTATGAGACCAAACGATGACCGTCACCATCTCTTGTCACTTGAGACGAGCTGAGCCGTTCCAGGCAGGAGGAAATGGTTGGTCCATCCGGATGTTATATAACAGCCAACCCCTAAGGTCAGTTACCTGACATTGCTGTTATTAGGTCTCGAGGATAGGTGGAGGAATGGCATCATTCAGGATATCACCATCTCATAAATCCAAAGTTATGGACATAACTTACATTTTTCCCGTCTGAACTCATTATCTGTAATGTGATCACGCCCCCGCGCATCGCGTGCTATTCATACGGTAATCATTCACGTGAGATGCGTGAGCCTGTAAATGCCCACATCACCTCCGTAAAGTTATAGGATTAATGTTACAAATCCAAATTCTTTGGGGTCTGCCGTTTTATCTGCTGTGAATTTACCAGAGAAGGTAAATGATACTGGTCCCTCGTGACTCTGTTGGTATTAGTAATCCAGGATAAGGCCGTGGTGACGGCCTGAGTGAGGTCGAAACAGATCGTAAGTTATATCCATAACTATGGATCTATGAGACCAAACGATGACCGTCACCATCTCTTGTCACTTGAGACGAGCTGAGCCGTTCCAGGCAGGAGGAAATGGTTGGTCCATCCGGATGTTATATAACAGCCAACCCCTAAGGTCAGTTACCTGACATTGCTGTTATTAGGTCTCGAGGATAGGTGGAGGAATGGCATCATTCAGGATAACACCATCTCATAAATCCAAAGTTATGGACATAACTTACATTTTTCCCGTCTGAACTCATTATCTGTAATGTGATCACGCCCCCGCGCATCGCGTGCTATTCATACGGTAATCATTCATGTGAGATGCGTGAGCCTGTAAATGCCCACATCACCTCCGTAAACAAAGCCTGAAGATTCATCAAGTTCATCTGGGATACTTTTCGTTTCTGGAAGAAGATGCGTTGTGAGGGAATAAGCCTGAATTCACCTCAGAAGAAGAACGAGATGCGATGCGTAGCTTGAGCAGTGGAGGAGATCATTTCTGAGATTAAGTCATGTTTTATTACTTGTATTAGTTGTTATTGTGTTATTTTGATGTAACTTGTACACATTTTACTAGTTAGACTTTTCCCAAATTATAATTCCTGACTACATGTATGAAATCAAGTGAAACCTTTTGAAATGTGTTTCATTTCATTGCATCTAAATGTCTCACAATGCCAGGATGTTTTTTTTAAATGTTCGATAAAATATAAAACAATACAATATAAAAGTAATACGAGTATTTACACTGTAACACTGTAAATGTTAGTCTTAGAATGTTTAGACCAATCTTTACGGTGAAATACTCTGTTCACATATATATACGTAGATGTTTATAACATGTTTCTTAATATTTTAGTTTCTTAGATATAAATAGTTTTTTTATTGTATAATTCATACAAAAAATGCTTGAGTTTATGCCTACAAAATCATGTTTTATTATTATTATTTTTATTATTATAGGAGTTATGAGTGGGCAATATCAGTGATTGCTAATGTAATAATATAGTTGCTCCTGATATCAACATGCTAACCGATGTGTTATTTTGTTTTTTTTGGTGACCAGATACCTTGAAGACTTCACTTAAAACTGTTTTTCTCTGAGAGTGCTGTACCAACATCAGAGGATGTTCAACTACATTTGGCTGATATTCTACATGAACATGGCAAAATAAGCTCCATGACTACTGATGATGGGGCTGTTTTTTTTCTTAAATCCATGGAAAGAAGCAGCAAACAGTTTGCAAATATCAGGTATGATTTACTTGTTTCAACAGTTGAACAGGATCTGTTTCCAAGAATGGCACAAAGGTGTGTGACTGTTCAAGTCTCTGTGTTTAGATCAGTGTGCTCAATAATGTGTCTTTCACCTTCACTATGTATATTTTGATTATACTGTGTTGTAAATAAAATACAAATAATCAAAACTCCCATTATTTTACTCTTCTCACATTCTTTTTTACCTGCCTCACAGTCACAGTCACTTATTGGGCCATTAGGGGAGGGCCCTTTGTCTCTCAGGTGTGAATCACTAAATATTCATGGCCATTGTCACTCCCTTGCGTACAGCCTTTCTAACACAAAACATGTCTTACAAAAGTTATATCAATATATTGTTTTTTGTGAATGAGAGGGCAGGATGATTTTCACATCATTTTATAGCAAAAACTCTAGTCTACCACTCCCAGTTCTCAAAAGTCTTGTCGACAAATGTTCTGTATGTGTTTAATGGCCTTATTTCAGTGACTTAAACATTTTACTTTTTCACTAACCACGCATAAAGGTTGTTTTCTCAAAAACACCAACATGTACATTAGGGGTGACCCCGAACAGTCGAAGATTTGATGCTTCGATAGGAGGAGCCTGATTCGACTACCAGTCTCACAGTCGAATATTCACAGGGTGTTATGATCATGCCATTTTGGCTATATGGGGGTGCTCAAATGTCTGATTTCACATAGAACTACCAGTTTTCTCCCTATAATATACAGCCTATCAAGATAATGCTGTAAATAAGAATCTGAAAAGAAAGACGCTTTAAATAAATATTTTAGCATGCGTGAATAAATCCATACACACTTTTAGATTTAAGTTTCACTTTCCATAATCTGTGACTGACAGAGGAGCATTTTTGTGACAAGGATTTAAATCTTTAACAAGACTCAAACTGACACAGGCAGAGTGAAAGACTGGATTTTTTCGATCAGATAGGGTACAAGTGATTTCAAAACATTTCAGCTGGTTTATATACATTGTGTATATATTATTTATCTCGTATAAGATGCATTTGGTTGAGTTGCGCTGCAGTAAAGCACTTCATGGTAGTACTACGGTGATTATCTCTTCACTTATGTAACCATGGTTCCCTGAGGGGGAACGAGACACTGCGTCCTCTAGGGGTCGCTATGGGGGAACGCCTCATCGTGACCCGCGTCTGAAGCATACATTGAAAAAACACCAACAACACGTTGGCCGGCAACAGCCCATGACGTTACTACCGGTGCGACTATAGTATAAATAGGCGCCGGGAGAACATGTCATTCACTTCTTCATCTGAAGCTTGTGTTCGAAGCATGGCAGAAAGCCTAGAGGACGCAGTGTATTATTCCCTACTCAGTGAACCATGGTTAAATAAGTAACCTGAGATGTTCCCTTTCAAGGGAACAGCTAGCGTCTCTTCTACAGGGGGCATCCTCTCATAGCCATTTTCGTGCATCGCCTCGATGTTGGCATAACTCGTATGATGGAATCGATAGATGCGAGAAGAAAACGGCCTCTTCCATTCCTTCTCGATTTCAGTATGCAAATCAGGAAGGAATGGAAGGCTCACCTGAGCTGGACGGTTATGGTCAGAAAGATAACGCTCATCGAGACGACCCCGTGGCGCCACTCTCTTGGCCCGCTTCCACGACAAGTCTAGCCTCGCCGTGGCGTGATCCATAACTTCCAACAGCTCACCATACGCAGAGCAGGAGGATTGGGGAGGCTCAGCCTCAGCGCCGTCCTCAGACATCTACTGCTCTTCCTGGGCTAAACCCAGCAGAGCACTGGCCCCCAGATCAGATGATGTCAAAGAGATAATGTCATCCTCCAGTGGCTCTCTCTCGTCTGCAACCAATGAGCGCGAGAAGGAAAGCCCCTCCTTAAACTCATCAGCCAGGTCCACCTGCGAACCCCATGAGCTCATTCTCCTCCGTGCCTCAGCAGCGGCAGGTCCTGAACCGTGGGGAGCAGATGACTGCCTCTCTTTCCTCGAAAAAAGAGACAAATGAGAGCGGAGCTTTTTCATCGAAAAACGCTCACAATGCATACAAATCGCCCCCTCAAGGACGTCCCGTGCGTGCTCCTCGCCCAAACACAAAACGCAGAGATCGTGTGTGTCATCAGGTGTCAAATAGCGACGACATGGATGCACACACCCTCTAAACGCTCTGCTAGTGCTCGCCATAATAATAGATAGTAGATCGCTCTTACCACGTTCAAATGCACGCTTCAAACAAAACAGTCAATGAAGACGAAGAAGAGAATGACATGTTCTCCCGGCGCCTATTTATACTATAGTCGCACCGGTAGTGACGTCATGGGCTGTCGCCGGCCAACGTGTTGTTGGTGTTTTTTCAATGTATGCTTCAGACACGGGTCACGACGAGGCGTTCCCCCATAGCGACCCCTAGAGGACGCAGTTCGAAGTTCCCTTGAAAGGGAACATTAATAACTTCTGTCATATACATAACGTTATAATGAGAGCACTGTTGTAAAAAATGTTTTGAATTCTTAGGGTTTCGCTGACGTTTAATGTTAACTATCTTTTAATCAAAATATAAACACTTTGGGGATCTTTGCATTTCTGGCATTAATTAAAAAAAAAGTAATGAGATAATTTAAATAGTCTGTCTGATTAAAAGAAACATATATAGGCCTATCATCATGTTCAGTCAGAATAAAAGCAACTCTGACTAATTATGGTTTGTCATTACAGAAATACGGAATAGGCTATTCATTTTTAACTAAATTCTATTCATCTTCGTTGGGGAAAGAAATGCTACACCATTGCTTCTTTAGCTCAGTGAGTCTCTTTACTCTTCCATGTTTCATGCAACATCGCATACTGTAAGAAATACTTTCTCAATGTATAATTTATCTTTATACTGGAAATTAATTATGTGCACTTTCTTTGTGTAAAAGAAAATAGAAAATCTATGAATTAGTAGTGAAGCTAAAAAAAGAAAAAGAGTAGGCTAATTAGCAGCAATTAAACTTGCCTGGATGAAATCAAATGGATGTGTGTTATTCATGTATTTTTCATGTGTGTACTAGACCTAATTTGAAAGACAAATAACTTGTTGACGTGTTGACATGCTTTTGCATTTTAAAACAGGTCAAATGTATAATATGTGGTATATGTGGTTTTGCAGAGGAGAATATAAGCTTTGTGCATGTTCTGTCTTTCATTTTTGTGTGAGCACACCGAAAGCTGGACGAACTGCTGGATCAAAAGCTTACAAGTGGATTTGAAGTAAGTTTAATATGATAAACTAGCTAATTAATGGAGATAATTATGTATAATGATATAATAGGGCAGCATGATATTGGGGAAATATATGTGTGTGTGTGTGTGTGTGTGTGTGTGTATTACAAGTATAAATTCAAACCTCTTTCAGTAACCATTTCGTAGTAAAAAAAACTCTTTAAAATATATTGTAATAATAAATATTTTAAAACATAATTTGTAAAATAAAAAAAAGAGTAAAATTGCAATACTGATATTTACGGCTAAGTTTCTTCATCTTTTAAAATTTAAACCATCAAGATTTTATTTTGACATTTTGCACACAAATAAAAATATCTGCTGCCGGTTTCAGAGTGAAGCTTTGTGTCCATTAACACGCATACAGCCCATGATATCAGCATCTTAGAACAGCTTGATTCACTGTAAATGAACCAAGCCACAATTTAACAATTGCACTAAGCCATATTGCCATATTGATTTTATTTAAAAAAAAACAGTATATTATGCAGCCCTTCATGTGATTAAAAATGAGGTTCTGCTGTGAAGAGCAGTACATTTCTAAACACCAGTTACATTGTTGTATAAAGAATGATTTAGTGATAGATATTTACCAGCACTAATTTATAGACAAGGAATTTATAATATAAAATCAGTGTAAGTATGGGCAAATAATTCTGGGCATTTTCTTCAAAAATGTGTTGTTTTTTTCTCACTTTTTTTCCACTTTGAAAGAATAACACAGG